AAGTATTTCGCAGGTATGTTGATGTTATTCCTTATTATTTATGTCTTAGATTTCTCATTCTATATTTCATGGGTCGTTACAGGAATCATTGAAATCTTCAGAAAGCGATGGAGAAGAATTTAATTGTCCTAAATGTAACATGACTTTTGCTGCTGATTATGCTTTCATGACACACTTTGAAATAGTACATGTACGAAAGCGACAATAGTAATATCAATTTATTTGAGTTTTGTCAATTTATACATCAAATAAAAAATAAAATTTATTTAATATTTCAATCTGCCCTCCATTTGACTCCAATACCGCATTAATCCTTCGTGGCATTGATGCAGTAACCCGTTCTAAAATAGCCTCATCAATTTTTTCCCACGCCACCACCTTTAATGCGACCTTAAGTTCATTTTTTGAATATTGTCCTTTAATATCTTCCAAATGTTCTCTATTTGGTTCAGGTCTGGAGAATAATCCGACCAGTTAATAATCGCGATTTTATTTTCTGTTAACCATTCCTTAATTTTTCCCACAGTATGAATCGGCGCGCATTGTCTTGTTGAAAATTGCGTAACTTCCAGTTAACTCCTTAATTGCGTTATGGAATGGTAATAAATGAGCTTTTAAGATTATTTTTCACCAATTTTTTTATATTCATCACAAAAATTAATGGTCCTTTTAATTTTCCCGCGAAACACTCACAACAGATTTTCGTCCACTTTTAAAGGTAGGTGCCGAGCAATTAACATTAAACTTTTCTCCAGGATGCCGCCAAATTCTTGGCTGCCGTGACTGCTTTCCAACTTCAACACTGGTTTCATCAGAGAAAATTATTTTCGCCTAATACCAAGCTGTTTTGTTTTTATTTTCTTCACACCATTTAACACGAGCATGTGCATGTGTTTCCGAGATATAGGGTTTCTTTGCTGCGATACCCGGAGTTGTGTAATACATTTGCGGCGGTTGATAAACTACAAGTGAGGCCTAAATTGTTGACTATTTCGCATAGTGGTGCACATCTTTTTTCGTTGGCTTCACGTATAAGTAAATCTTTTTCTTTGTTGTTAAGGACTGGTGGTCTTCATGAACGTGGTAAGTTTTCACTTTTCCTGTTCGTTTATATTTGTCAATAAAGCGATGTATCGTTTTGGGGTCGCTTCAAAGCATTTTTTGCGATTTGAGCGGTGTTTGAAGTTTCCATGTATGCCAGAATCTTCTCTTTTTCAATTTCGTTAAGCTGCGTATAGGTGGACGTCATTTTTTAACCTAACAAAATTATAGTGTTGACGAAGTTGTAACAGGTAAACAAAGTGATGTTTATTATCAAAACTTGATAACGATAAATCAATGGTTACACGCGTAAATCGGGCGAGACTTTGTGGGGGGAGGATACTATACATGTAATACATGTACCTTTTAGAAAAGCTCTATCGGAACGACTTGAATACCAATGATAACTATCTGGATATTTTTGGCAGGCCAGTGTATTTAAAACTTAGTTATACTGTTTGACACGATATAAAGACTAGAATTCTAGAGTATTTTTGATAAACGTACATGTACATGATTACGTATAATGCATTGATATTTTTGCGTTGGTACATGTATCTGACGAAACTATTTTCATAATGACGAAAGGTTTCGCCACGTCATTTGTCGGACGAAACCTGCGACGAAATCTTCTGACCAATCAAAATAATAGCTTACAAAATGGCCGAAGGTCATGAACGATCAAACTTATGCTGGATTTTGGCCAGCATTATGAAAACTTGAGAAAGCGTATAATTTATATAACGATACCTCTGGTAAAAATTATGCAAAAAATAGTCATTCGTCAGATGATTTGTCATTAGTAGACTAGTCCCGATAGAAAAATTTCCAAGTCCTGTGATCTCCGATTCAGTTCCAGACCTACCGAATTAATCGACCCAAAAAATGATCAATTATCGTTATTGTCCGGAGCATAACGAAGGAAATTATATTTCTACGACTTAGGGTGCTGACTACAGGTTTCCGATCCAAAGTGGCTAGCACTAATCCCCATAAATAAAGTGATTACCGTTACGTAATGGTTATTACGTAATTATTTCTTTTTATAAATTATTGTTATTATCAAAATGCCAAATTTTGTGCTTCATTGAACCTGATAGATTTTTTCAATATTCTTTTTCTGTTGATTTCTATGTTGTTCGATTTTATATTGTTTTCAACGGGAGTTTATAAGAGACACGGAGATATATTTGAAATTTCGATCCAACGCGTAAAATATTTCTAAGCAAATCTGAACCTTGCATAGATATTACGATAAACTTATTCGTCAACGTCTTGATCAACGAGCACAAAGTGGTTATGACTCTAAATTAAAACCAGATATGTTGAATCTACTTCTTGATTTGAAAGAAGAATCTGGATAGTGAGGACAATGATCGCATGGACGAAGATGTTCGGGACTCCTTAGAAAAAATTATGAATGGCTCTGCTATTGTAAGGTTATAACATTTGATTGATTTGAATTAATAATTGATATATTATCTTAATTGAAATTCCAGACAGCTGGTACTTTCAGATATATTATCCCAGAGTTAAAGAGCGAGTCGAAAAAGAAATTCGAGATTTTCAAAAACTAACCATGCAATAACTATTGAAGAACTTGCGCAATTTAAATATATTCTGGAAGGTAAAAATTATACATTACTTTTATCCATAAGCTTGAAGTTTATTCAAAATCTTTATTTAATTCAAATAGCTCTTCGCGTAAGGTCCGTAATCAGGATCGAAAGAGTAAATACCCAAGAAGAAACAATTGCCGGATACAAATGGAAACCAAGCACCAGATTTGGTATCGATATTCAACCAATCCATTTCAATCCGAATTTAGACCAGAAAGGTTCCTGAACAGGGAAACTAAAAATCCAACTATATATTCATTTTTCTGGCGATCAATTTATAATGAAAAATTGATCGACAAATAAGAATCGGACACTTTAGGACATAATATCTCGATATCTAGCTATCCAATTTGAGCGAAAATACTACCATTTGATTTGCCTAGATTCGGCAAATCGAATGGTAGTATTTCGCTCAAATTGGATAGCTAGATATCGAGATATTATATCCTAAAGTGTCCGAATTATGTATTTAGAGCATGAAAATTTATGAATATACAATACCCGATATAGAAGCTCTAACCAATCTGTAAAGACATCATGATCAGCATTTGTACGTAATGTTCCTTGTATCCGGAAATATTCATGACATTAGACATGATTTTTGGAAAGTTATGGGGGTCGGTTACTTATGATTTGCACTGTACGTATATATTTTGCCATTTCTAAAAATACGTAGACAGTGCATTGGTCCACAATTCATGTTATGAGTGCTCTACATTTAGATACTAGTACCCTAGCCATGGCGACAAAAGTGTCAGGTCATGTGATCATGTGATTCCGATCTCAATGCCGATATTCCCCTTAAAATCATGCACCAATCAAATCGGTAACGCAGAAAACAAACGCTTATTTTGAAAAATAGCTTG